AACGATGGGGTATTCATTCTTCATAGTCCAACTATAAATACCTTGCTTTCAGTTTAGTCAGTCCTGATAATACATTGCCTCACCTTTGTGTCTGGTGGTATAGTAATGTGACAGGCTGACAGTTTAATGAATTCAAGTACCGCCTTTTTTCATATGAATACTTGGTACAGCCTGCGTGTTTACTTATTAGTATAACCATAGTCTATCAGAGTAGATCAGTGTACTCAGATGGCCATACTAGACCTCTGAAGATAGTATACCTGAGTAGGATCCATTTCTGCTAGCATCTTTCCCATGTAAAGAATCACAAATTAAAAATTCCGCTCCGAATCAGAAGTATACATTCTCTTGCCTTAACAAATTTAAATACAGTCAGAACAGCAGTTTTAGCAGAATAGCATGGAGTCTTTTTATTCGAAGTTCCTTATCAGCCAATTACGGCCCAAAAAAAAATCACATTATCAAGTTGCTTAAAATATTTGCAGGCTTGAATGAATTTGAGAGGAAATTATTAACTGTAAGAAAAGATAAGTTGCTTAGAAAAGGCGAGTGAGGATACTTCAGCAGCGCAAGATGCTTACATTCAAAAGGGATACTGGAAGAGGAAATGACTATCGTCGAAAATAGCCTCTGTGAAGACGGACAATCACAGGATTTTATCAATAAGTACAGGAAAATACTAACAGAATATAAGAAGTGTGATGGATTTGAGAAGCAATCTGTCTTTCTCAAATTGGGCTTTAAGGTGGTGATGTTTCTGAGAGAATTAATTGGAAAATAAATGTTGTCTTAAAGAGGATCTATTCAACTACCAGAGAAATACCATTTTACCAAACCAATTACACAGCGAGACAGTCTAAGGTCGATGAATCACTTTTACTTCCATTTGCAGATACCAATTCATGTGTACATGCCAAAGTATAGAAACCAGACGAAAAGAGAGAAGAGTTTGTGACCGCATGGCAGAATATATTCTAGGTCTTCAACAGTGCTATTACTCGTCACCTTATTTACAGTGGAAATGTAGTAGACTTCCAGGAACTGCTTAAAATTATCAGATAGATGGACTTAAACTGTTTGGATTTTACCGAGGCACTCTGTGCCTGCTATGATAAACTTCTGTTGATGATAATTATGGTACTTGTAGGTATTATTATTGCTTCATATACCTTAATTGTTATTCCATTGTACTCGTTTACCCTTAGCCAGACTATATTCTCTGATCTGTTTACATGTGGCCATAGGAAAAGACAGAAGGACGATTGCAGCGAAGAAAGGCTTTTCCTTTCGATGAAGTCATTTAGTAAGCTGTACATTCATGAATACATGTTACAGTTTGTAGAACGTTTTTTTATTTTAACAATCCCTTGTTTATTTTCCCAATCCGAACTATCATTTATTTTACGTAACATCCTTTTGTTACTTAACGTATTTTGACCCGTTACCGGGAATGGTTCTGGAACGTTCTACCCACTATAACATAGATTCACCAGTGCAAAGTTTAGTTAGTGACTTCGTCTAAAAACTGCTTTTTTCCACTACAACCGTCTTTTTAATTTTAAATTCTTGATTTAACCATTCTAAATACGTGGAATAAATGTGTCACCCTCCCCCTTTTTGTGCAACCCTGTAACTAGGCTTCGTATCTATCAGCTGCGATCAACAAGAAGTATCTACAGTTGATGTCCACTCACAGATCCCAACCCACATCATTCATTACTGCAGTCAGAGGGATTAAAATTCAGCTACAGGGGATGTGATTGACTTCCTATAGGACTGCAAATGACATATTAGTTAGCAGCCTGATAGGAACATGAAATCTATGCAAATAGCTCTGACTGCAATATCAAGTTATGCAGTTTCAAACCACTGAATGAGTGTCATAGATGCATATTGCTGACAAGTGTCAATAAATAAGAAAATTATGTCATGCAGGTCTTCCTGCTGATTACCTATAGCTTTCTCACATCAATAAGCCCTACGATGCTGAGTCAGTTGGCTGTTGATTATGTTACAAACTGATTAATAGAATTCGATCAGCAGTTACGAGTACAAACAAATGACACTGCTTCCTCTTTAGTGATCAGTCGGAGTTTGCATTTCATTACACGGCTTAAACCAATATTCAAAGACTTCGTGAATTGGTGTCATATTTTAGTCTAACCATCTTAATCCTTTTTCTAGTTTAAACCCCATTCAGTAAATATTTTCAAGCTGAGCAGTGTCACATATCCAACATTGCAAACAGACATATTCTTATTATTATATTATTAGTCCCTTGGGTTCCTAGTGGAACATAGGGCTTCAGTAGCACGCCTCCAGTGACCTCTGTTCTCTGAGATCTTTTGAACCTGGTCCCACGACAACCCACAAGCTGTCATTTCCTCCTCGCACGACCTCCTCCATGTCACCCTCGGACGTCCAACTCATCTCTTCCCATGGGGATTCCACTCGAGGGCCTGACGCGTGATGTCCTCCGTCGGCCTTCTCAGTGCATGCCCAATCCATCTCCACTTCCTCCTGCATATTTGTTGCGTGATAGGTTCTTGGTTGGTTCGTTCCCACATCTCACTGTTACTTATTCTTTCTGGCCATCTGATCTTCAGTAGCGAGCGTAAGCAGTTGTTGATGAATGTCTGTAGTTTATTGGAAATGCCTTTCGTGACGCGCCAAGTCTCTGAGCCATACAAGAGCACTGACTTGACGTTGGTGTTGAAAATCCGTATCTTGTTCCGCATGCTGAGTGCAGAAGATCTCCACACTGGTTTCAGGCTAATGAACGCCTGTCTTGC